CGCCATGTTTCCAGTGTCGATGTTGAATATGTGAAAGAGTAAACGGGAAGACTGGGGAAAGCTTGGAAGGGCATCAAGCCCAGAGCTAACAATATGTTCTGCAGTGTGTGCAGAAGTGGCGGCGAGGGAGCGGACCACGGCTGGCCTATCCGGTCCGGCGTGGAGTCATCCTGGTTATGCTCTATAGTTGGATTTACAGCCCGGCCGCTGTTAAAAACACCTTAATGAGGTATTTCAAGAATTATTGTCTACACGGTGCCCCCTGTCGCCGCTGAATGCCACGTGAAACGCCGGCGGAAACTCCTTGCCATTCTGGGTGAATCGGGGACGGGGGGGGCCGATGACCCTCGTACCCGATTAATGTTTTTCTGTCCATGTGCAAACACCTTATAAGGAACGTTAGCCAGCTATGAATCATATTAGTATAGATTGTCTTGTCTTGAAACAGTGGCTCTCCACCCTTCTGGACGCGGCCCAGGGCGTTGCATGATGCCGCTTCATCAGGGCAAGTTGCCCTGCGTCGATGCTCTCAAGGCTTGTGCGCCCGATTCTAAAAAGGCAAAACGCTACTGGCAACCAACCTCCTACCAAACACTTCTGCTTTCCGTCTGTACCTAGCTAGCCTAAAAAGTGCGAAATGAGGCCTGGCGCTGGACCTACCCCTCTCATCCTCTACATGCACGCATACAGGGAGGTATATGCACGCACAAATATGCGGAAACACCTGCGCAAGCGTGCAGCCAATCACAAGGTGCTGGATCGATAAACGGAGAGTCATAATTCCGGTCAGTTGAACCAGTAAAAAGGAAGAAGTGTGTAGGACAATGTCAGTGCAACAGAAGCAGCCGAGGCAAGCAAGCATTTGCTGCCCATAGAAATAGAAAAGGCTGAAATGGCCTGCCAACTAATGGCGCATGCAGCGCAAATCCGACAGGCGCAAGCAGGAGTATATAGGGCGTGTGTTGAAAGCTTTCGGTAGCCGCAATCCTGTGGATGCAGCGGAGAGCAAACACCTGCTTAGGCTGTACACGCCAGTCAGAGTTTCTGTTCTGACGGAATGAATATGTGAATAAGACACTGCGGAGTGCGGCTTTGGTTGAATAGTATCAACAGCCGCCGGGTGCCATGGAGAGGTCACTGCTTTAAAGGGCCAACAAGCCAAGGGCCGCAATAGCGACGGCCAGCAGACTCGGGGCAACAGCAGAGGCTGAACCTGTGATGGATGCCTTGATCTTCTTCCACTGCTCTTCGCTGCGCGCAATTCGCAAAAAGATGAACAACACACAAGATTGTGATCGCATCCAGAGGCCCAGCTCTCTAACCAACTATAGTTTTGCAAGAATGGATTTCCAACTTACTTGAAGGGTTCTGCGGTCGCTGTAAGTGCTTCAGGTGTGGTCATGCACAGTAGAGCATGGCCTGTCTTCCCTTTATCAGCGTTTAGTGTGTCTACTGCTGGGAGGTTGGGAGCTGTCGTTTGTGTGCAGGTGACGACGCGGCAGTCAGCAACGGCATTCTGTTGAGGGTTGTACATGGCAACAAAAGAAATGTTCTGCTGTTTGCTGTAAATTTCCTTTTGCGTTTGCTCATTCTTCGCCGGAGGGATTGTAGTGAAGTTGTTGACGGCGTCCTTCCAGTGCTTCACTGCGGCGGCACAGTCGGGCTCATCCGATTCCAAGGCCATGTAGGCGTACGTGCCAGCTTGAAAGTCATTTCCATTTCCGCTCTTCGCTACATCTGCCGACTCTTCCTGGAATGAAAAATGCACGGATGAAGAAATGGGACAGCATGAAGTAGGGTTAGGGGGAGTAATGACAGGGACCACATTGAAAGATACTTACTGTTGTCAGAGCTTTACAAACAGGATCCCATGCAGTATTGTGCTGTGTTTTTTGCGTCAAGGTAACTGGAGGCCACGTAAGGCTTGCAGCGCTCTCCTCTTTGAAGTGTTCAAGTCCAGCGGCTTCGCGTGCAGCGTTAATTTCTTCGAGGCACACATGTTTTTCCCCTGTATAAAAGCAAACGATGCAGACATCCTAAAACCAAATGTATAAATACTGATACTTGCAAGCGTGGGTTGGAGCAATTTAATGCCCTTCGAAAGATTTCTTCGCTTCCAAGCGCCACTGACCCTCCAGCAAAACTCGTCACCTTCAACGCATTTACTTTGGACCACAGGGCTGAAACCTTCAGTAGTAAACATGTATTTTCCAACGT